AGCAGGATGGGGAAGCCTCTCTCAGACCGCCGGGTGACTCCCACCCACCTCCTCGGCTTCTCTGAACCAGAGTGACCCAGGCGGCGCTCCGCCCCGCTCTCCTACTCGGTGTCGGCGCCGAGGTGGGGGCGCCGGAGGGGGGCCCCAGGCGCCTCGAGGTCCTGCCCTTGCGGCTTTCCCTTTGCGGGGGTGGGCGCTGTCTTCCGGGTAGGGGCCACGTGGCCCTGGCTGGGCGGGGGGCTCAGCCCACCCCGCGCCGGCCCCAGTGACTCAGACCTCAGCTGTTCCCGCGTCACATGAGGGAGGTCGGCGGCCACCCGGCGGGGGAGGGGACCGTGGCTGGAGCCCGGGGCGGGGCCGCGCGGCAGGCGGGGCGGGAGCCGGGGGGCGCAGCTAGAGAGCCCCGGCGCCGCGGCGGGAGAGGAGCGCGCAGCCTTGGGGAGCCCAGGTGAGGCCGGGGGGCCCCGGCGGACTTGGGCGCGGGCTGGCGGAGACCACCGGCGCTCCGCTCCTCCAGGGCCGGCCCCAGGCCCGAGGAGACCTGCCCGGCGCTCTCCAGCCTCCCTCGAGCAACTTTGCTTCGAAGTTCCCAGGGCCCGGGCAGGGTGTGGCGGGGGTGCCGGCCGCACTTTATTTTGGTGGGCGGAGAGGTCCGATCCCAGGGGAAAGGGGCTAGGGTGGGGGTCGGGGTTGGGCTGAAGACCGTTTGTCCGGACTGGTTGAGCGGGGAGGGGGTGTCTGACGCCCGGAGGCTGGCGGGCGGAGGGTCGGCGTCTGACTCAAGCCCCTGCCGGCGTCCTCGGATCTGTCCTGGGCCCCACGGGCGGCGGGGCGGGGTCTGGGCTTCGCGGCCGTCGCCCCCACCCCTCTCCTGCGGTGGAGAGGGGGCTGGGAGACGTGGATCCGACCGCGGGTTTCCGGGTGGGAGGGGCCGGGAATCGGGGCCGTGCAGGGAAGCCCTCGAGGGCCGGCGGGGAGCGCGGAAGCCGAGGTCCCCCCTCGGCCGGTGTTAATCCCCCCGCCTCCCCTCTGCCCCAGGCCCGGCAGCCATGGCGGTGGAAGGAGGAATGAAATGTGTGAAGTTCTTGCTCTACGTCCTCCTGCTGGCCTTTTGCGTGAGTGGCTAGGGGTCCTGCGGGGCGCGCTGGCAGGGTGCGGGGAGGCCTGGCTGCACAGTGGTGAGGGCTGAGGGAGTACGAACTGAAGGCAGCTGGAGACCGGGTGTGGAAGGAAAGCCAGGGGAAGGACAGCGCGGCCACTCCCTCCTCCAGCTTTCCTGGACACCTGAGGCTGGTTTCCACAGAGAATGGCCATCCGGGGGTGCAGCAACCCTTACCCCCACCCCTCCTGGCCCTTCCTGTCTGGTGACCCAACCACTTGTGATATGGGGCAGTGTGTGGGGCAACCAGCCAACCGCCTGATGCTATCGCCACGGGGCTTCCCTTCTCTCCCTTCTCTCCCTTCTCCCCTCTCTTCCTCACCCACACCCCCGTTCCTCTCCAGTCCTCCCCCTTTCCCTCCTCCCAGCGCTTGGGGGTGAGGAAGGGCTCTGCCCACCTCAGTTTGCTCCTGCCCTGGGCTCCTGTCTTGAGAGGCTACTGTTTGTCCAGGGAGGGGCACATCACTCTTTCCCCCTTTTCCTCTTCCCTTCTCTTGGCCTAACTAGCCAGAGGAACCTTAGTTACAGCTGACGTGGGTGGGGTGTGTACTGGAGGCTAGCGAGGGGGCAGTTCTGGGAGAAAACTGAGCTGGGAACCCGTGAGGCCCGTAGAAAGTCTTATTCCTGCCGGGCGCGGTGGCTCAAGCCGGTAATCCCAGCACTTTGGGAGGCCGAGGCGGGTGGATCACGAGGTCGAGAGATCGAGACCATCCTGGTCAACATGGTGAAACCCCGTCTCTACTAAAAATACAAAAATTAGCTGGGCATGGTGGTGCACGCCTGTAGTCCCAGCTACTCGGCAGGCTGAGGCGGGAGAATTGCTTGAACTCAGGAGATGGAGGTTGCGGTGAGCCGAGATCGCGCCATTGCACTCCAGCCTGGATAACAAGAGTGAAACTCTGTCTCAAAAAAAAAAAAAAGTCTTATTCTAGGTCAGAAACATGCGTCTTGGGTGGGTGTCAAGGCTTTCTGGGAAGCCTTTGAATTTGGTCAAGTCCCTGATTAAAGAGCCTGGAGGGGGTCAGAGGTGCTGGGGCTAGGCAAGGATGGGTCATCCCCCGTCCCCACAGCCAGAAAAGTTCACTGGAGGTGTGAGAATCTCTCCTCTGGTTAGGGCCAAGTCTGTGTCCTGGGTGTACCCCCGTCCTCCACCATGGAGGGCCACAGTGTTGTGGGTCTGGCCTAATCCTCGCCTGCCTTTCTCTTAGGCCTGTGCAGTGGGACTCATTGCTGTGGGTGTCGGGGTGCAGCTTGTCCTGAGTCAGACCATAATCCAGGGGGCTACCCCTGGCTCCCTGTTGCCTGTGGTCATCATTGCAGTGGGTGTCTTCCTCTTCTTGGTGGCCTTTGTGGGCTGCTGCGGGGCCTGCAAGGAGAACTACTGTCTTATGATCACGGTGAGTGGCGGGGAGTGGGACCAGCACAGGTGGTCTGGGACTGCCAGGGCAGGTTGGTTGGGGCTCAGGAAGGCAGGTGAGGTGAGGTGGGTAGGTGGGTCAGGAAGACGTTTGTGAGTGTCCAGGGACCGGGTGGGCCACAATGGGCCCCTGTAATGCATAGACTCCAAACCTGATTCCTGTCCTTTGCTCTTGCAGTTTGCCATCTTCCTGTCTCTTATCATGCTGGTGGAGGTGGCCGCAGCCATTGCTGGCTATGTGTTTAGAAATAAGGTAAGCAGAAAATAACGGGAAGGGCCTGCCTCAGCCTGGCAGGGACCCAGGTGCTTGAATTCTGACTGCAACAATGCTCCTTACGTACTCTCAGGTAATCTCAGAGTTTAATAACAACTTCCGGCAGCAGATGAAGAATTACCCAAAAAACAACCACACTGCTTCGTTTCTGGACAGGATGCAGGCAGAAGTGAGTGGGGTTATTGGGAGCAGGGGTGGTGGGAATAGAGAATTCTCATCACCAAGGCCGGGCGGGTTAGCTCACGCTTGTAAGCACTTTGGGAGGCCAAGGTGGGTGGATCACCTGAGGTCAGGAGTTCAAGACCAGCCTGGCCAACATGGCAAAACCTGTCTCTAATAAAAATACAAAAATTAGCTGGGTGTGGTGGCGTGCACCTGTAACCCCAGGTACTTGGGAGGCTGAGGCAGGAGAATCGCTTGAACCTGGGAGGCAGAGGTTGCAGTGAGCCGAGATCGCGCCATTGAACTCCAGCCTGGGCGACAGAGCAAGTCTCTGTCTCAAAAAATAAAAAAGAATTCTTATCTCCATATTGAAGATGGAGATTCACATAATCTTCTCCGTATTTCTTCCCTCCCCCAGTTTGAGTGCTGTGGGGCTGCTAATTACACAGACTGGGAGAAAATCCCTTCCATGTTGAAGAACCAAGTCCCCGACTCCTGCTGCGTTAATGTCACTGTGGGCTGTGGGATTAATTTCACCTGAGAAGCAGATCCATACGGAGGTAGGGAGGAGACTGTGTACGGGGCTTGGGAAACCTGGGAAATGTTTCTCTTCCTGCAAGAGAGACCTAGGATGGAGGTGGACAGGGTCAGGGAGGGGGAGGGGATCTGGAAATGATAAGGGTGGGGTGAAAGGTCCAGGGGCAGGGAAGAGACTGACAGACCAGGGGAGGGGGATGCGGTGGGAAGTTTCTGATGGTGCTTTTGCCCTGCGGGCCTGCCACCCTTCAGGGCTGTGTGGAGAAGATTGGGGGCTGGCTGAGGAAAAACGTGCTGGTGGTGGCTGCAGCAGCCCTCGGAATTGCTTTTGTCGAGGTGAGAGATAACCCTGAGCAGGGGCTGAGACTCAGTCCAGGGTGCTGGGACTCAGTGCCAGGGTGGGGAGGGTGCTGGAGCAGAGCAGTGGGGCAGAGCAGGAGGTACTGGCCTGGGGGTGTGTTTGGGGTCTCTTGCATGGGTGTGGGGTAGCTGGCTCTTCTGACTCCTCTCCACCCCCGTCCCCATCTTTCTTTCTAGGTCTTGGGAATTGTCTTTGCCTGCTGCCTCGTGAAGAGTATCAGGAGTGGCTACGAGGTGATGTAGGGGTCTGGACTCTTCACCCTCTTCAATCTTGGGGAGTGTAGCATCCTCTGGGTTTTTCAATTAAACGGATTATTTTTTCAGACCGAAAAGAGAGATGGTCTGAGTTTGTCTTAGAGAGACGCTTGATTCCTTCCTTTCCTTATCCATGTTCCCTGTCCTCTGGGACCTTACTGTTCGTGTACTTCGGGAAGGTGTATTGTGGGGGCGTTTGGGAAAGGACTTTGCTGAAGGTGTTAGTTGGGCAGGCAATGGGAGAGGTGGCGATCCAGAGACTGTGGTGCTTCCTGCTCTCTAGTCTTGTGCCGCCAGGCTCACTCCGAACATTCACGAAGCCATCTGCTGCACAAGTCAGAGGAGCTCCCCAGAAAGGTCCCACCTAGGAGAGCCCGCCCACAGCTACCTTGGACATCTTCGTGACCTTTTATGCACCGCTAAGGGCCTAGCACCTCCTGCCCTAGCCAGTCCTCCAGGGATCCAGCTCCTTTCAAAGTGGTGATAAGTTGCCTTGACACCTGTGTGGCCAGTCTTCCTTGGCAAGAGAATTTATGTGAATATTGCCTTTTTTTCCGTGGAAGCCACCCAGCCTGACCCCCACCCCTCTTCATCACTTGCTCTTCTCCCCCAAGAAATATAAAGGCCATTCCCAGTACAGACCCTGAATTGCAACCTTACTCCCCTTTAGAAAATAAGGAAAACGTATCAAAGTGCCCTCTGATGGCCCCTCCTCCAGGTGCAGCTGTAGGTGTGAGGCAGTTCCCTGACGGCCCCCCGCCCCCCGTGGGTGTCAGCTGTTTTATAGGCACTGAACTGAGCAGAGACCGCGAGCATGTTGTAGTTAAGCACTTAAATGGGGTCAGCCTTCCACTGGGCATCTTTGTTTCTGCCCACCTTTTTATTTTTCAAACACACTTGTTAGTGTTATTTTGTGACAGGCACCAGGCAGGTACCAGGGTGAGGGCAGAAATAAAGTCCTTGCCCTTGAAAAACAATCTTGCTGGAAGGCTGGATTCAGTGGACTGCTTGGGCAGGCTTGGGAAGGACCCAGGTGAGCACAGCATCCACCAGGCTGGCTGGCAGGTAGGAGGCAGGCAGCCAGAGGAGCTTGGCATCCCAGCCTGGGCTGTAGCGGGTTCGGGGGTGTCGAGCAGTCAGGGCATGCTCCAGGCATCGGCTCACCTTGGTGAGGTCCGGGTCACAGATCAGGTTCATGATGCGCTCTTGCATTTTGAGGTCTGCAGCCCCATAGGTGGTTGCCGTCAGTTTCCCTTCCCGACTCCAGCCCATCTTAGGTACTGTCTTTTGGGGCCCAGGGCTTGTTGCCCTCTGTCCCCTCCTCAGGGTGGAGAATGGGCACATTCCACGTGGCCTGGGCACTCTTGTGGCATCCTGTTCACCCTCATCCCTGCCCTGGGTGCCCCCCCCCCACCTCCCAGCAGGTTTATGTGGGACTGGCCTTTCTGGTGCTCTCCCTTCCCTTCATGTGCCCCTGTGTGGGCTTGGCTACTCACACTTGGTGAGGAAGGCTCCCCCATAGTGGGCCTGTGTGGCAGGAGGTAGCCGGGCCCAGCAGGCCTGCAGGGTTTTCTCCAGACTCTCCAGGTTGGTCACAGGGGTTCGGAAGAAGCCAGGCTCCACGATGGAGACGCGTATCCCAAAATGAGCCACATCCCGCCTAGAATGGGGGCAGAGGGAAGCTGCTGGGTTCTTGCCCTATAGGGAGGGGACTTTGAGGGACATGGGTCAGGGAGGAGAACGTTACCACAGAACAGGGACAAGACTTTTGACGGGGATGCCTACTGCCCTGGGACAAGGGCCAAGTGGGGTAGAGGGAGGAAAGTATTTTTGAAGTTTGTTTTCTTTGATCTAGAGTGGGGGTCAGCACATTTTTTTTTCTTAAAGGGCCAGAGAGTGAGTATTTTAAGCATGGCAGGCCAAGAAACAAAATTAATGATATTTTCAGGTTCTTATGTAACAGTTTACAGTGTAACCATTTCAAAATCTAAAAACCATTATCAGCTTGTAGGCCTGACTTGACAACTGAGTTTGCCAATTTCTGACCTAGAGGAACCCCATTCCCTTCCTCCCAGAAAACACAGTTAAGTCCCGAGTGCTGGATATTGGAGGCATAGTCTGGTATTTGCCGGAGGGTAAGCTGGTGGGGAAAGTGGGGCTACATCCCATGGCCCTAGTCTTAATTTTCTTTTCTTTTTTTTTTTTTTTGAGACAGAGTTTCGCTCTTGTTACCCAGGCTGGAGTGCAATGGCGCAATCTCGGCTCACTGCAACCTCCGCCTCCTGGGTTCAGGCAATTCTCCTGCCTCAGCCTCCTGAGTAGCTGGGATTACAGGCATGCGCCACCATGCCCAGGTAATTTTTTTTTTGTATTTTTAGTAGAGACGGGGTTTCACCATGTTGACTAGGATGGTCTTGATCTCTTGACCTCGTGATCCACCCTGCCTCGGCCTCCCAAAGTGCTGGGATTACAGGCCTGAGCCACCGCGCCCGGCTTAATTTTCTACATCTACCCTCCAGATGTAGAAATCTAAGTATAGGTAAGGAGCAGGAGGGGAGGGGAGAAAAAAAATCCAAGTATAAAGTTTGTGTTCCAGTATGCAGTGGCTCACGCCTGTCATCTTCCCTCCCTTTGGGAGGCCCAAACAGAAGCATTGCTTGAGGTCAGGAGTTTGAGAGAAGTCTGGTCACCACAGCAAGACCCCATCTGTAAAATACTACTAGCCAGACACGCTGGCATGCACTTGTGGTCTCAGCTACCCAGGAGGCGGAGGCGGGAGTATCGCTTGAGTCGCTTGAGCCTAGGAGTTTGAAGCTGCAGTGAGCCATGACTGTGCCACTGTACTCCATCCTGGGTGGGAGCAAGACCTGTCTCAAGACACACACACACAAAATATGTGTTCCATGATGCTGCCTGGAAAATTGAGGCTGAGAGATAGGGGCAAAAGGAGACATTCAGATTATTTTCTACCTTCTAAGGAAGCCTGCCTTTGTTAAAACCTGAATCTTGACAAATTCAGGCTTCCTTAGAAGGTAGACTAAGCTTAGACGCCTTGTACTTTTGCTGAGAACTCAGGCCCTGCTCCCCTATGGTCCTTATTGTGTCTTTGTACTCCCGTGGAACCTTGAACCGTATTGTTTGAAGATGAGAGGCAAGGCTGGGCGCGTTGGCTTACACTTGTAATCTCAGGACTTTGGGAGGCTGGGGTGGGCGGATCATGAGGTCAGGAGTTCGAGACCAGCCTGGCCAACATAGTGAAGCCCCATCTCTATTAAAAATACAAAAATTAGCCAGGCATGGTGGCGTGCGCCTGTAATCCCAGCTACTGGGGAGGCTGAGGCAGGAGAATTGCTTGAACATGGAAGGCGGAGGTTGTGATGAGCCAGGATTGTGCCACTGCACTCCAGCCTGGGCAACAGAGCAAGACACTATATCAAAAAAAAAAAAAAAAAAAAAAAAAGGCAGGAGGGTGTAATGACCTGTGGGCAGGCAGACCTGGGGTTAAGTCCTAGTGCTTCCACTATCTAATTATGTATGAATACCTTAACCTTTATGCAAATTAACCCTTATAGGGTTGTTGGGGAGAATTGTATGAGAAAATGTCATATAAGTTACCAGCTTATTGTAATAGCTACTATTAATAGTAGTTTGTTTCCCAACTAACAGTTATGACAGCAGGCTTTTTTGAGCATTTACTATGTGTCAGGCACTATTTGATCCTTATATGTACTTCCTTTACAATACCCATGAGGCAGGTTTTCCCGTCCCGGTTTAACAAATGCGTTAAAAATGGGTAAAGAGAAGTAATCTACTTATGGTCACAAAGCTTACATAAGGGGGTTTGAACCCATGAAGTCTAGCCCCAAACTGTCTCTTCTTAAATATTCTGTACTGTATCTTAACCATCTCTGCTGGCCCATGTTTGTTGAGTGGGCTGCCTTCCTCTTGGAACTCAGAGCCCTGTATGCCTCACCTCAGGCTGTCAGAGAAGGCCTCCAGGCCAAATTTGGAGACACAGTAGCCCCCACCATTGGCTGCAAGGCGACCCAGGACGCTGGTGATGTTGATCACCCGACCCCGGGCTTGCTGCAGGAGAGGCAGCAGGGCAAGGGTGACCCCGATGGGACCCATTGTATTCACATTCAGCACCCTCTGGAAATCATCCCGGGTCAGCCATGGTGTGGGTCCGATGATACCAGCCACACCAGCATTATTCACCAGACCAAAAAGCCCTGTGGGGAGATGAGAAGGATGCTGGGGGTAGGTGAGGCCCTCCTGTAGCCCCTTTTCTTTCCAGGAGCATCTGAAAACTGCTCCTCCTCAAATAGTCCCTTTAGCTTACCACAGCCCTTGCAGGTGACTCCCGAGGTCACTATGGGGATCAGGAGACCCCACACCACATTCCATGGTGGTCTTCCACACTTACCTGCTTCCTTAACGTGTGTCTCCACCCACTTGGCTGCCTGTTGGACGCTCTGGGGATCTGTGATATCCAGCAGGGTGGTGTGGAGGCGGGAGGAGGCCACCCGCTGCAGGTCCTCGGCCCCGGAAGGGGTCAGGCAGCTGGCCAGGACTCGGAAGCCTCTCTGGTCCAGCTGCAGTGCCAGAAGGCGCCCAAAGCCTGAGTCACAGCCGGTGATGAAGACGAAGGCATCGCTGGCAGGCAGGGTCTGCCGGTCCCTGAGCAACCACAGCACTGCCCAGAGCAAGGCACCCAGCAGCAGAGGGAGCCACATAGTTGGAGCCCAAGTGACCTGCAGGTGGCAGCCCAGGCTGGGCAGAAAAACTTGTCCAGTTTACTGCGGCCCTCAAGCCCTTTCCCCTCATACCTTCCCTGGCTGGAAGCATCTGGTGTGAGCAGATTGAGAAATTATCTGCTTGGCAGATAATTGGCCGACGATGGCTCATCTGTGCAAAGCAAAGATGTGAGCAGACCCTGTATTTGTAGCCAACTTAACTAAAACCACGAGTCAGGTCTTGTGTACAGACCTGCTGTATGGAGCAGAGGCATCTTGCTTGCCTCACACCTTCTCTCCTACTAAACCAGGGACAGTGAACCTTCTTTTATTTTTCTATTTTTTCTTTGGAGATGGAGTCTCACTCTGTCACCCAGACTGGAGTGCAGTGGCACGATCTTGGCTCACTGCAACCTCTGTCTCCCGGGTTCAAGCGATTCTCCTGCCTCAGCCTCCCGAGTAGCTGGGATTACAGGTGCCTGCCACCACGCCTGGCTATATTTTTTTGTAGTTTTAGTAGAGATGGGGTTTCACTGTGTTAGCCAGGATGGTCTCGATCTCCTGACCTCGTGATCCACCTGCCTCAGCCTCCCAAAGTGCTGGGATTACCGGCCCACGCACTTGGGACACCGAACCTTCTATATGCAGCCTGGGTCTTGTGTTTGCAATGATGTACAGGGCCAAGAGCTCTGCATTTAGTCCTGGTGGCCTCAGATTTGCTGTGTGATGCTGACCATCTCATTGTGTCTCTGAACTGTTCTCCCATCTACCAAGTGAGGCTAAGACCAACCAGGTCCACCTCAGAGTTGTGGATGAAAGGTGATAATGTGTGAGGAAGCATGTTAAAAGCTGAAAGCTGTGAATTGCCAATACGTGTAATATCTAGCTGTTCTTCTCATAGTTCCCCTGGCTCCCAGTATCCACTTACCTCCTATGGGGAAAGCTGGCAGGTACTACAGCGCCCGAAGCTGCTGCTCTTGCTTTTGTTTGAGACTGTTCCCGGTCTTCCCAGCCTCCCACCCCAGCCACTGACTAAGGCCAAAGTCCAGAGCGGGTGGACTTGGATGCCAGGCGCATTAAGTGTATGTGTGACGGGTGGGGATAGGGCTGAGGAGGAGGAGGAGCCAGGGAAGCTGGAGCTTGCCTGGCTGTAGCCAGGCACTTGGCAGAGGCCAGATTTGCTGAGGCTCCCCCCACCCCTTGGCTGTCTTTCTCAGCCGGGGTTCCTGACCATCTATGTCACGGTCTCTGAGGAGGAGGGAGCTGTCAAGGATGGCAGCTGCCCCACTGTTGGTAACTGTTACTGGACCTGTCATTCCTCCCCCCTTCTCAGCCCTCAAGTGTCCCCAAGAATTAATCTCCCGCCTGGCTCAGACTCATGACACTGCTTAGTGTTAGCCTGGGAGAGGCTGTGAGCACGTGGAGAGGCAGAGAGCCAGAGCTGGGGACCAGGCCTGTGCCTTGCTTTGTTTCTCTATTGTAGGAAACAGGTCCTGAATTAGGAAGCCTGGGGCAGGGCTACTGGGACCTTCTCTGGGGAGGGATGGGAACTCCCACACTCTGCTGGCCTAACAGACACTTGCACAAGTGAGGAGAAAAGAGGTGGGACGGTAAGAGGAAGTTAGTTCCACCCTCCACCCAAAAGGTACCTGTCCCTCAGAGAAACCACCTTGAACCTTCCACTCCCACCCCTGACACTGGCGCTAGTAGCTCTTCAAACACACCACAGAGAAATGGAGGCGTATGTTTTATTCAAGGCTTGTCAGTCTCCCTCCTTCCTGCTGTGGGTGAGGCAGGAGGGATGGGGGGACGGGGAGGGAACAGGGGCTAGGAAGGGGCGGACTGCAGCTGCCCTTTGTAGACATATTCCAGTGCAGTGGCAATGGTGCGCATGTCCAGCTCGATGCTCCGAGCCCAGTTCTCCACATCCCCAATTTCCTGGGAAGGGGGAGAGGGGGTGGGAGCCCAGGCATCAGAATGGGCAGAGTGTAGCTTCCAGTCTGGGGATACTTTTTATTCATCTCCTGGCAAAGGCTTTACTTGGACCTACCAACTGCTTTTCTTTCTTTCTCAACCTTTTCTGACACGGGCTACAGATGGGGTCTCTGGGACCACCCTACTTCCTCCTTAACCCTAAACCTGAGGTAACCAGACTGGAGGCAGCCAAGGGGGGGGCGCAGGATTGGGGTGGCCGAGGTAGGGAGTATGGCCCACCTTGAGTGCCTGGTTGAAGTTCTCCACCATTCCAATCCACTGGCCTGTCTGCTTGGCAAATTGGGCAGCCTGCACCTGTAGGGTCTTCACCTCATGGTCCAGCTTTCTCTGGTTCATGTAGGCCTGGGCTACACTAGGGGGTTGGAGGAGGGAGGAGATCAGCTCCCCCAACTAGTTGGGGGTGGTCTCCAGGACTAATATCCCACTGCAGCAGTGGGAGTTCAGCCAAGAGTCAGGGCTCATCATTTGGCCATTTTTGGATGCAATGCAAATGACTACCAGGACATGCAAATAAACCCAGCTCCTCCCTCTCACTCCCAGGATTCCCAGGAGAGCCAAGCTGGGAGCTGACTAGAAACATACCAGCTCCAACCCCCAAAAAGGAGTTCCTGCAGCTGAGTGGGGGAAGGGAGGGAAGACGGGGGGCCATATCCCTGAGGAAGAATCTGGGAGGGAAAAGGGGCATGGAAAACTGGGAAAATGCAGCAGGAAGGACACATCTGGCAGTGATCGGAAGCCTAGGGATCTATGCAAGAAGTTGCAGAGGGAAACTGGCCCCTCCCTGAATCTGGGGTAGGAAGGGAGAACATACCCCCTCCCCAGGAACCCTGGGTCAAAAGAGGATATCCCAGGGGTTTCTACTCTGCTCTCAGTTGCTTTCCCAAGTCTTCGCCTTCGCCCACACAGATCAAGGAACACACATACGCTCCCTCCCTTCTGCTTTAGGCACTAATTTTTCTTTCCAATCAAGGCACAGGCCGTGGTTTTGCTACCACGGGGTTGGTGTCCGCCACCTTCTGCCAATGTTTTCTGCCCTCCCCCACCCTGCAATAATTGTTCTCCTTTATTGGCTGATGAATTTTTCACCTCCCACCCCAAAGCTGTAGTCAGCCAGGAGATCTCACATCCGGTGCCCCCACCCATTGGAATGTGTGGGGGCTGGAGGGGGGAAGGGGTTGGTGGGGGCTGAGGGAGTGGGCAGGACACCTGACAGGGGCCAAGAGAGACTGAGCCTTTGTTTTCCTTTCTGGGGAATGAGAGGAGCCGTGGGCAGCAACACAAAACCCTTTCTAATCTGGCTTTGGCTTAGCTGCCCTCTAAGCTGAAAGTAGGGTGGCCTCTAGCAAAGGAAGAGAAGTGGGAGAAGCCTGGGCCAATCTCACAAATGATGAGCCCAGCAGGCGCCAATGTGGGAGGGGGGAAAAGGGAGGGGCAGGTCTCATCCCTTCTTTTTGGGAGACAGCTGGGTCACTGTCAAGGGTCGGGTGGGAACTGAAACAGACTCCCCTGAGTTCCTGAACTCCTGATTTTCCCCAGTGAGCACCTGCTTCTATATTCACACTGAGTAAAGAGAGCTACCTGGAGAGAAGGGAGATCAGGGGCTCCAGCCACAACCTTCTTTTTCTCAACCTCCCTTCAAGAGGAGTAACGAAGATGACCCCAGCCCCTGCATGGCTCATTTGGATGCCTGTCTCTGGATTCACGCCAAGCTGTTCTATTTGACCTGGGGCGGAAGGCACCATCCCGCCTTTCTTCCAACAGGCGGACTAGCAAATCATCTCCGCACACTTCTGGCTCACTCGGGGTCAAGAGATAACATTTTTTTGCTCTTTCCCAAGTCTTTGGCTGTTACTGGCATTCTCATTTAGGGCTGGGGTAGGGTGTAGCCCCTGGAGACCCAGCAGGAAGGTAAGAGACAGCCTGGTCCTGCCATAACTCCTGGCACAGGTTCTACTCTCACCACCACCAGCTGTGCCATCTCTTCCCTGCCAGCTGCTCCCCAGGCTTTCCAGAGGGTGGGCGGCAGAGGAGAGGGTGGTAAGCTGTGGTGAAGGAGGGTGCTCTCCCTCCTGCTGAAGTGACAGCTGGACTTGGAAGGGTTAAGGGAGGTGGGCAGATGGCATCAAGTTGAAAATGCCAGGGAAGTTAACGTGGGAAGGGGAAATCTGCCTGCTTCTCTAACCACTGCAGCTGTTCCTCCCTTGCCCAGTGCTAGGGCTCAGAGTTGGCTCAAGTTTCTCTACATAGAGCTGGGAGGGGCGGGGTAGGATAGGGGAACGAGTGCACCATCCCACCCCTTCGACAGCGGCCTGAGGGACAGGCCTTGCCAGTGCCTAAACTTGGGCGGGGTGGGGAAGGAGGAAACTGGCGTCGATGAGAAGAGGTTCATACCCCACATTGAGGTGATCCACCAAAGCTTCTGTCAGGCAGGTCGCTGCAGTGATAGCCTCTCGCCTCCTCTTCTCTGGGGAGAGGGAGAAAAGGAACTGGAGGGGAGACTTGGTTTTTTGAGGGATAGTGTTAAAGGTTCCCTATCTGTTCATGACTCTTCCGCTAGTTGCCGAAATTTCTTAACTAATCTCGGAATGTCTGAGCTGAAAAGGACCTTGCAAAACATAGAGCAACCTCCTTCATTTTCGAGGTGAGGAAACTGGTACCCTGGGAGGGAAATGGACTCACTCGTGGACACCAGGAAGTCAGTGGCAGCGCCCAGGACTCCTGACTCCCAGGCACTCTTTTCTCCACTATCTTGGCCGAAGAATCGGTAACTCCGAGATTCCCAACCCGGGCTCAAGAAACAAGTGCCCCACCTCCGTTCCGGTGGTTTCGGGCCTCCAAGAATCCCATCTCTGGGGGTTCCCCACACCCTCCTCCCTCCAGAGGCGCTGCCTCGCACCGCCAGGACGCCAGGCTCCCTGGGCCACAGGCGGGGCGCTCCGGGGCAGGGGCGGGGCTACGCTGCGGCCGAGACGGGTGTTGGGGGCGTTGCCGAGGGGACAGGAGTGTTGCCCCAGCGACCAGAGCCGGCTGGCAAGGGAAAGGAGTTTCAAAAAAAAGCCGCCCTGAAATTCCCATTCCCCCGTGCCCGTGGCCCGCTAGCCGGCGCCCTTCCCTGGGTATGGGGAGTCACTCGAGATCCAGGCTCCGGGCTGAAGCTAGGCCGCGGCCGGAGAGAAAACGGAGATAGTCGGCTCACCCTGCAGCTCCTTGCGTTCATTCTGTTTGGCCTGGTGTTCTTTTAGCAGGCGGGACAGCATGGTGGCGTCGGCCTGGGGGCTGGGGACGCCGGGCCCCCTCCGGCTCCGGAAGCTGGAACGCGCCCCGCGGCTCCCCGGGGCCATGTCACGTGACCGCAGTGTCACGTGAGGTTGGGACCCGCCCTCTTTTGAGGCGTTGGGTGAGAAGATCTTGGCAAGGAGGGGAGGTGGAGGGTTGGGGAGGGCAGGTGAACCCTTTCCTTTTTGGTGAGTATTGGAAGAAGCGTTCTGTGATACCCGTGTTGCCAAGCCAGGTTTTAACGTTGCCTTTGGATCTCAGGCTTCCAGGGCTGGTGGTGCCAGGCCGTCTGTCACCGTTCGGTTGTTGAGGGAGCAGAAGCTCCCTGGACTCGTTTACCATTTTTTCCTTCCCTCTCCTTACCTCCTGGCAGTGCTAGCTGGTTCTCAGTTGATTCCCAGTTCCTTCCCTCAAGGAGAGAATGCTCTCCTCTCTCTCCCAGCCCTCTTTCTTCTCACTGCCCCACTGAAGTCTCTCAGCTGTGGGTGATAATTGTGGAGAAGCATTTTTAGACGCTTCAGGCGGCCTCCTAGGGAGCTTGGCTAACTTGGCGGGCTGTGTGAATGTACAATTTCATCTCTGTCCTTTTGTGGTCAGGAATGCGAACCCATTTCAGCCTTAGCAGAGGCGTAAGTGCTGTGCCGAAGTAAAAAGTAATTTATATAAGGCCTCTGTGAACTAAAAAGAAATGCTTCCGGGATGAACTCCAACGAGAACAATTATAAACATCATCAACATATTCTTGCCATTGGTACAATCTCTCTCGGTGCACCTTGCGCTAACATATTGGATGACTTTGGGCAGGTTGCTCACCACTCTGGATTCT